TCTGTTCCTGATAAGACACTCACAGCTCACCTGGCAGATTACCGGTGTGAACCCCTCACTGTTCAAAACCAAGCAGAGCCAACACCTATTGCATTTCCCAGGGGTACCTGGGTTTGGCACCATTCTCTGGGATGCCTGAGAAGGAAAATGATCATGGATGGCAGCCTGGAACCACTGTGTGGAATCACAGCCACCCTAGAGACAAACACCCCATTCTAGGGGTGCTCAGAGATGTCCCAACCTATTGTGCTGGTTACAGTTTTACAGCAAGTCTTTTAAACACACTTCACTCCAACTGATTCACTTCTCAGCTCCTACATAACATTGGGTGTGTTGATATACTTGTGTTTAAGGACATGTTTAAAGACATTTTTCCTCGAGGCCCCCAGGGAAGAAATGCTCCCCACCCCTCCAGCCCTTTCCCTGGGACTGGTCATGAAAACTCTGCATAGGAAGGAGATGCAAAGGAGGATCAGCCTCTTGTGGGTGCTGTGCTGGGGACAACAATGTGCCATTGAGCATCTGACCTCCAGATCTGGGTACCTGTTCAATATCACACGTTCAGCAGGAAAATCTAAAAAATCCCTTTTCTACACTAGAGTATTTAACACTTTCTTTGGAGAACTGAAAATTGCAAAGAATGGTAAATACAAAGCTTGTAAATTGGTCTGTGTGGTGCTCCAGGGCTACACTGGTACAACCTGGAAATAGCAGAGCATGCAGGCTCAGCACAGGGCAGAGCAGGCACAGACAAGGGCTCAGCACCAGGATATCCAGGGTGTGGGGAGGACAGACCCCACAGCAGAGTGCTGGGACACCCTGTGAGCTGCAGGCACACACAGAGGTGCCATCCCATCCCATCCCATCCCATCCCATCCCATCCCATCCCATCCCATCCCATCCCATCCCATCCCATCCCATCCCATCCCATCCCATCCCATCCCATCCCATCCCATCCATCCCGCCCTACACTCACCCATGCTGTCTCTGTGGGGACCTGTGGAGCACAGAGCTGGGTGGTTTTGGCCTGGCTGGAGGGGTGTCCAGCCTGAAAGTTATAGGGTTGGGCAGGTGAGGGGGTGGAGGCATGAGACCCAAAGCTCTGCACTTGTCCTCTGCTTGGCAGCAGGACCAGTGGCTCAGGGCTTATTTGCTCTCCACCATCAAGTGATCAGTCCTCAGGCAATGAAGTCACACAGGTGAAGAGCTTTCTCCAGAGGCAAAGCAAATAATTTGGTGCCAATAAGCAAATGCTTTGAAATGACCACAATTCAGTGTGCAGTGTTTCCCCAGGGAATGACGTTCTTGGGGCATCTCCACAGAGCTCAACTGGTGAGTAAACACCCAGGTGACTTTCACCTCCTGGATGGAAATCAAACATCAGGTGTAAATCACTCCCTTCAGAGCTGACATTGAGCTCAGCAGCCCCTGGGAACCCCACAGACCCTTCAGGGAAGAGGTACTCCAGTGCTCTGGGAAACTGAGCCCTGAACTTCACCAAGGTCCACTCCAGTGCCTCCTGACACCCCTGCCCTGCCACTGCCACGCTGCCCTTGTGCAACACCCACTGTGGCCCCCCTGGCACCATGGTGGCCCTTGCAGCAATCTCAAGGGAGTTCTGGGCATCATGAAGTGCCACTGATGTAAAATGGTCTCACTTGGAGCCCCTCTCTGCTCTAGGAGCACTCACACCATGGATGTGTACAGAAAATGCCAGACTTCCCTTTTCCCTGGGATGGGTGCCTGCAGTGTTCTGAGTTAGGAGGGCTCCTGCAGCCCAGCAGCCAGAAAGATTTGAAAGAAAGGTCTGGCATTTTCTGTGAGACCATTTTACAAACCTTTCCAGGATTCTGTGTTTCTCTGAATGAGAAATCTTTCTTCAAAGACCATCTTCTTCCATCCCCCTGCCATGGGCAGGGACACCTTCCACTAGACCATGCTGCTCCCAAGCCCTGTCCAGCCTGGCCTTGGTCAATGTTTGGTTCTGGAACAGCCACAGTTCTGTTTGTGGCTGCATTCCAGGCTGCATCTGGAAAAATGCAGCCAGGAGGGTGAGGGAAGGGATTCTTCACCTCCACAGGGAGACAGCAGCTGCAGGGCTGTGTGGGGTCCCTGTGCAGAGCAGCAGCTTCAGCTCCAGAAGGATCCAGCTAAGAGCACCAGGACAGTTAGGGCAGGAGATCTGTGGGGATGCTGAGAAAGATGGGTTTGTCCAGCCTGGAGAAGAGAGGCTGAGATGGGATCTCGTGGCTGCCTAGAGCTGCCTCATGGAAGGGTGAGGAGCAGGTGGAGACAGGCTCCTCATGGCACTGTGTCCTCTTTGGACCCCCCCTTGCAAGAAACAGACTGGAGCAAGTCTGGAGGCCACTGGAGGCCACCAGGCTGACTGGAGCCCTGGAGCTCAGGACACACCAGGAGAATTGGAGAGAACTGGGCTTGTTCCTCCTGGAGAAGAGCAGGCTCAGAAGGGGCCCCATTGCTGACAGCAACCACCTTATGGGAGCACACAAAGAACTTATGGGAGCACACAAAAAACATGGAGATTTTTCAAGGATGTCCATGATGGTGGGATGGGAAGCAATGGATCTGAGTTGGAACATGGAAATTCAAGTTAGAAATAGAACTTTTCTTCAACATGAGCTTGATCAAATACTGGGACAGGTGCCCAGAGAGAGGCTGTGGGATTTCTCTTCTTAGGGGTGTTCAAGACTTTACTGGACAAGGACTTGCTTGAGCATGGTTTGGACCAGATGGCCTCCAGAAATCCCTCCCAACCTAAACTGTTCCATCACCCTGTGATTCTGTGACTCTCCTTGAAGGTGCACTGGGAATCATGAGAGCCAACAGACACAAGAGGAAGGAAGGGAAATTAGATTTTTAAAAATCAGCTTGAGTGTGTTCAAAGACAAAAAGATTAAAAAAAAAAAAAGAAGAGAAGTTATGTGACCTCCATTCCCTGACATTCACAACTGACCCAGATGTGACCCTAAAGAGCCCATTCAAGTTTCACTGTTTTGGCACTGAGGCCAAACCCCGAGATCCTCCTGATCTTGGATACCCTGTGTCTCCAGTTCTCTGCAGACCCCCTCCCCAGCCCTCACATCTCAGTGCTGGGCCCCCACAGCCAGCCCAGCTGGGGGGATTTGCCCTTTCAGGGTTAACAGCTGCCATGGCCCTCGTGGCTGGTGGTCTGTCCCACCCAGGACCTTCCCCTGGGCCTGTGAGGTTTAAACTCAATTTAAACTCAGCCCTAGAGCTCCAGTCCTCACCTGAGCCACACTGGGAGCACAAAGGGGGACTCCAGACCCCTCTCTGTTCACTTTTTCCGGATGGATCTTTGTGGATGGTTTATTTCCTGGATGGACTGCTCCCATCTCTGCCACAGCACATTTCCAGCCCTGCCCTCTGCCCTGTGTCCCTTCATCAAGGACCCTGGATCCAGCTGTGTTTGCCTCACATGGAGCCCACACTCAGCCCTTTCTACTGTGCTTGGACCTGGCAGGACAGACATCTCCTCCTCATCTCATCTCATCTCATCTCATCTCATCTCATCTCATCTCATCTCATCTCATCTCATCTCATCTCATCTCATCTCATCTCATCTCATCTCAATCTCCTCCTCCTCTCCTCCTTGGCTCCCAACCTCTCACCAAGCTGGCACAGGTGACATTGAAGGGTTCAGATGGAACCAGATCAAAAAATCATGGATTCATTAAAGTTGGAAAAGACCTCTATGATCAGCAAATCCACCTGTCAACCCAGCATCACTGTGTTCACCAACAAACCACATCCTCAAGTGTCACATCCACATATTTTTTGAATGTTTCCAGGGATGGTGATTCTACCACTACCCTGGGCAGCCTGTTCCAGTGCTTGACAACCTTTTCCATGAAGAAATTTTTCCAAATATCTAATCTAAAACTCCCCTGGTGCAACTTGAGGAGTTGACTATTGACTACTGACTACAACTTGAGTATTTTCTCTCGTCCTCTCAATTCAGGAATCCCTTACCAGGGATCCATTACCTTGGAGAGGTCTGGAGGATGCCACTGTCCATCAAGGCCTGCAAGTGGCACTGCTTGGTTCCCACAGCATGGAAAGTTTGGTGGGAACCTCAGCTTGACCCTGGATTGCTGTGAAGAGCACGTGTGAAGCTATGCCATGAAAAAAAGTCTGATCAGAAACCAACAGAGAAGATGAAGGTAGAAGGGCCACGTCTTTATCTTCAATTTGACTTGAAAAGCTTATGAAGCTTCCTGGATCCTCTGGCAGGAGGAAGAGCTCTCCCAAAGCATTTGTCCAGAGAGCATTTTGATCCAGAAGACAGAGAAACTCCTGGTCAGCATTTCTGGGGCTGAAGGTGGATCTGTAGGGACTCACCAGGCCAAAGACAGGGACTGGGGACCCACAGACCCCTGTTTGTTACCTGGAGCCCTGGCTCAGAGCAGGCAGCCTGGGGTGCCAGGGGACACTGCAGCTCTGCCTGCAGGACACTGGCTCCAGCCCAGTGACTGATCCTAAAACCTGCCAGTGGAGAGTTAGTGAGGGGGCAGCTCTCTTGAGGACCTGTCCTCAGCTTTCCAAGGTCGTACTCAGGACTGGTCACACAGACCTCTCCTGCTTTGCTGGTTTCTGTATATCCTTAAAAAGCTGGGTCTCTCCACTTCACTTTGATCACAGCTCTCTGGATTTGGCTCCAAGTGTGCAATTCACATGTAGTGTTTATGTAGGCACAGTCAATAACTGAAACCCCTCAGCATGGAGGGGGTTATTCTGCACTCTCTGGCTGGAAGCACACGTGTCCCTCCCCTCAGCTGTGCCGTCATGGGATCTGGAAACTGCTCCAGCCACAATCTGCAAGTGCCTCCTTGTGCCTCGAGAAATGATGAGTGTGAGCACACGTGGGTGTGTGCAGTGCCTATAAAGGCAGCGTGGACAGCTCTGACGGGAGGCTGCTCCACTGGGTTCCTGCTCTGCGTGGCTGTGCTGGGTGTGTCGTGATGGGTGAGTTTCCTGCTCAGCTACACCTCACTCCAGTGTGGTGCTGGGCTCAAATGAGACCTCACGGGGTGAGTATGCACAGAGAATGATGAGCAGGACAGCAGCTGTGAGCTTCCCTGGGAGCAGGAGGGCTGCCAGAGCAAAGCACCAAACAACACACACACTTAGTGCCAGCCTGTGCCTGCCCCAGGCTACCTGGGCCATGTGTTCCAACATCCTGCCAAGGGGGGTTAATGTGGAGACCTGAGCTTCTCCTTGGTCCCTTCCCTGCTTGACCAGTGCATGTGGCATGTGTGGCTGCTCAGGGATCCTGCCCCAGGCACGGTGGCATCTCCCCAGGAGCTGAGGGAGTGCAGGGAGCAAAGGGGGGATGTTGGTCAGCACGCAGGGTTTGGGTTTCTGCATTTCCTCCTGTCTGCTCGGGAGCAATGCAGTAGGAGCTGTGGGGATGTGTGGGAATCCACAAAATCAGAGGGTTTTGGGAAAGCTGCAAAAGGCAGGCCCCAGAGGCAGGAGAACTGTGATTAGAGCTAAGCAGCAGCCATGAGATTGGTCAGGAGAATTAATTGGTCAGCAGAATATTTAAACTGTAGAAAAGCAAGGACAAATGATCTGTGTATTAACACTTGTCTAGAATAACTCTCTAAGCTACAGAAAAGTTTATCTAGCAAAATATTAAGAAGGTTGAAGCTTAATAATGGAGATCTGTGTGCTGTGTTTTAAAGCTTACAAGCAGGTATTGTATTCAAAATAAGCAAGCATTGTTTAACCAAAGGTACGTGTGTTTATAGTGATTAGATAGAACTACTGTCAATGTGCTTTTGCTTTGTGTGATTGGTCAAGCAACTTATAAAGTGAGTTGTAACATTAAATTCTTGGTCTGCTGCTGGGATGTGAGCTGCTGGCATCTTCCCATTGTCATAACCATGGAATGAGACTGATGCTGGAAAATCAAACAGCTCAAGGCAGTTCCCAGCAGTCCTGTTCCGTTGGTGATTTGTACACAGCCCCCTGCCAGCATCAGTGATGGGCACTTTCCTCCCCAGGGCTCCAGGCTGGGACACCCTGGCTGCACCGGGACCTTGTCCTGCTGCCCACCCTGGTGGTGGCAATGCTGCTGCTCTGCGCCAGCGCCGGCCCCGCCGTGCCCACGGCCAGCCCCCGGAGCGGTGAGTGGGGGACAGGGGGCACACAGGGGCACACAGGGGGACACAGGGGGACACTCAGGGCTGCTCTGTGCCAGGGAAGGGGAGCAAACACCCAAAGGGATGCACAGCACAGGAACTCCTCACACACACACAACTCCCAGGCCACGGCTTTTACAGCCTGGCTCCTGCCACGTCACCTTCACCCCCTTGGTGGGTCCACGCTGAAACCAACAGGGTTTGAAACCACCTCAGCTTGGAAGGATTGCTGTGCCAAAACACCTCAGCTTGGAAGGATTGCTGTGCCAAAACACCTCAGCTTGGAAGGATTGCTGTGCCGTGTTCGTGAGGCTCAGTTCCAGGAGGGATCCTCCCAGCTATTTGTTTAGCTCTTGTTGGATTAGAAACATCCCCTTCCTCCCTTCAAGGGACAATTACAGTACCTGCAAGACCCCAGAGTTTCGTGAGTTGAATTGGAACTACCCACAGCAAATTGGACAAAAACCAAGAAAAACAAATTAGATGGCAAATTAGTTTGGCTAATAAGTCATGAGAGATCAGATAAATTATAACAAGCTGGGGGAAGAGACCTCTATAAGACCAAGGCAGAACTAAGCCTTCTTATCCAATGCCATGAGCCCCAGGGAAAACATAAATTTTCATTACAAATCCTCATCCAGTGGAACATTTGGATACTTCTGGTCCCTGCAAGAGCTGCAGCTCAGTATATCAAGGGTATATGGGCCAGACATACTTTGAGGACATAATTGGCAATTCTTGAGATTTTTTTCACCCTTCCTTCTTTGGCAAGAGGCTCCAAATGAAACAGCAAATCATGAGAAATAGGTTCCAGAGCTGTTACAGAGGCTGAAGGTTCCCTGAGGATAAGCCAGTGGAAAAGCCACAGCCAGAACCACTCCTTGTTTTCCTGAGTCCTCACCCATCTTCAGAAGCTCCTTGTTGTCCTGACAGACTCATGGACTATTGGAATAATTACCAATATTGCCTGACGGGACGTGCCTGAGCTTGTCTGGCCCTTGGAGCTGAACCAAATAGTGGTGTTTCACCCCAGAGACACTTTTGGCTGGCTGGGTGTGTGGTGTTTCACCCCACAGACACTTTTGGCTGGCTGGGTGTGTGGTGTTTCACCCTTAGAGACACTTTTGGCCGGCTGGGTGTGTGGTGTTTCACCCCAGAGACACTTTTGGCTGGCTGGGTGTGTGGTGTTTCACCCCACAGACACTTTTGGCTGGCTGGGTGCTGCAGCTGGGCACATGGGGACAGGTCCAGGCCTGCAGGAGCTCTGGTGGTGGTGGGATGGAGCTTTCCCCCATAACAGGGGCTGCTCCTTGGGTTTCCCTCTGTGGAGAAGCTTTAAGGGGATGGTGAAGGAAAGGAGTCGGTTCTGATGGAGGGTGTGGATCCAGAGCTTTATTCTGGCCCTCAGGCCTCTGAATGCAGCACCAGCTCCCACAGAACTCCCTGAGCCCGTGGCTGCTGCTCCTTTAACCCCGGGGAGAGGGCAGGGAAGGGGCAGGGAGCCACCAAGCAGGGACAGGAGGGGAGGGACAAAGGGACAAAGGACACCTGGATGGGCCAATGCCCCCCAGGGGTAGAGGGCATCCTTTGGATCTGCCCAATCACTCAGTGCCCTTCTGGAATGCCAGGACTGACAGACAGTGCTGGGAGGGGTCAGGGAGGGAAAGGAGAGGTGAGTGACACACCTGGGAGGGAATCTTCAGGGGAGGGACCCGAGGTTAACCTTGAAATCCCAACACAGCAATGGACCTCCTCTCTCCCCCACCCCGTGTTTGCTGCTGCAGCCTCAGGGTTCCCCCCGGACTGCAGCCGCCTGCGCAAGGGCAGCCCCAGCGGGGTGTACGTGATCCAGCCCGCCCGGTCCCCCCCGCGCGTGGTCTGGTGCGACATGGACACCGAGGGCAAGGGCTGGACCGTGGTGCAGAGAAACTCCCACGACACCGAGCTCACGTGGAAGCAATCCTGGACCACCTACAAGTACGGCTTTGGCAATGTGCACAGCGATTACTGGCTGGGCACCGAGTACCTGCACCTGCTGACGCAGCAGGGCACCTACAAGGTGCGCTTCGTGGTGCGCGACAAAGCCAACGTCACCCACTACGCCGAGTACGACATCTTCAGAGTGGAGAGCGAGGCCAGCGGGTACCCCCTGAGGCTGGGCAGGCACTCTGGAGATGGGGATGACTACCTGACCCTCTACCACCCCAAGAAGGGGGGCATTCATGACAACATGAAGTTCAGCACAGTCGACAAGGACCAGGACCAGTACAGCGGGAACTGCGCCAAGAGCTACGGGGGGTGGTGGTACAACAGGTGCCAGAACGTCCTGCTCAATGCCAAAAACTACATTGTTTGGCCAGGATTCTGTGATAAAGGTGACTGTGCATCCTCCCTCATCCTGGTCAAACCCACAGATGTGTGTTGACCGTGCCCAGCCCCCCGGGAGTGTGGGGGTGCCACCATCCCCAGCTCGGTGCCCCATTCCCATGCCAGTCCCAGTGCACATCCTGCTCTGCCCACAGCTCCTGTTCCCTCACCAGCCAAAACACAGCAGCTCTGGGGCTCAGGAGCCATCACCCGGAGCGCTGGGCACACGGGCAGCTTTGTCCAGTGCCATGATGCTGGCTGGCACTGGGGCACAGGCACTGGTTTGGGGTGGGTGCACCCGCTCCCATCCTGGGGAGGGGGACATGGTGCCAGCTCCCTTCCCCTGCAGTCGGTGACCCCTGCTTTGCCCAGGCCCTGCTCCCTCCCTGAGCCCTGCACACCCCACAGCTCTGCTATCCATGGTGGGAGGAATCAGCTGCAATAAACCCTGGAGCCAGACTGTGCTGCCTCATGTCTGCCTGCACAAGGTGTGGGGGGATCACTCTGCCCACTCTTCAGGGTGGCAGACTTGGGGGAAGCTGTGTTAGGCAATATTCCTTTCAATGGCTTGTTCCAGCCACTGCACACTGGACTGTAAGGCTACAATTAGCCAACAGGGCCAGCAAAGCCCTGATCATGCACAACCCACACCCACAGTTTGCCCCTGTTCATGGGTGGGTCGTTGCTCTGTCCTGGGAAAGAGAAGAAACCACCACACCCTGGAGTGTGGAGAGGGCAGTGGACTCCCCGAGGGTGTGAGTGATGTGGGTCAGTCAGTCCCATTATTCCCTGCTGCAGACTGGGAATGTGTCTATGAAGTTCCCTTGTGATGCAGGGAAGTTTGAACTTGGGGCCTGAAAGAACCCACAGCTCCTCTCCTCCCTCTGTGGAAGGAAAGCTGAGCTCAAGAAGGTTTGTGGCTCAGAATTCTGAACACCATGGGACTCTGGAGCTAGGGTCTGTGAGCAAGGCCCAAAGGCAGCCTGCAGAGCTGTGGCAGTGCATTGTTCCTGAGGAGCTGTGAGCTCCCAAGGAGCATTCTTTGGCAGCCTTGGAGGCACCTGCAGGTGGGCAGCACTGCTTCATGGGAAGATGGAGAGAGATATGAGGGTGCTGCTGGCTGAGAAAGGCCTCCCAGCTGGAGCTGAGCTGAGAGCAGCACTTCTGGACTAACAGATGTGGCTGCTGGCTTAAAAAAACATTGGTGCTCCAGCCTGGATGCACAGCCTAACAGAAGGGGAGAGGCTGGACAAAGGCTTGGGGTTCCTGGTAACCAACATTCCAGCCAGCAGGGAGCCCTGAGTGATGCTGAGCTGCATTCCTGGGTCTCTGTTGGAAAGAGAATAGCTGCACCCAATGATCCTTGTGGGTGCCTTCCAACACAGAATATTCTGGGGATCTATGGGTGCAGGCAGTGAGACACCTGCTCTGTTCAGCACTGCCAGACAACAGTGCAGCAGCCAAACATCCTCCCTCTGCTCAGCATCAGAGACCACACCACAGGCACCATGTCCACTGCTGAACTGTCCACTGCACCAGGTTATCACCACACCAGAGCACTTCCATGCAGACCCAAGCTGATCCAGAATCTTGAGTTCTGGGATCCCTGCCCTGTCAGGCTGTCTCAGCTCTCACACCAGCCCAGACAGACCAGCCACATGGTGCTGGGTGGCCTTGCAGTACTGTTGCACTCTCCCAGTTCCCTCCCAGCATTCACAGGGTTAATGAGGCAGGATGACACAGGCCTGGCTTTCCAGGTCATGGCTGGCAGGGTGCAACTGACCTGGTGCTTCCCTCACACCCTCTGCTTGCTGTTGGCTGTGTGATGCTACTTTCCCTTTTTGGAAGATCCCCTCCTCGGAATGCAACCCTCTTCTATAAGTGAAAGTTTTGCCTCTAATTCCTCACTTGAATTGTATGAAAAAATTTTCCTTTGAAAACTTTTTCTTACTGCACCAGAAGCCTCAGGTGTGCTTCTGGCAGGAAACAGGCAGCAGTCGCAAGGAATTCCCAAATAAATGAAGGACACTGTGCAGGTCTGAAAGTGATTTTATTCTGCAGGATGAACACAGACTGCAGCAGGGATGTGTTGTGGACATGGCCCATCCTGGGGTCAGTATAGCTTAGGTCAGGTTAGCTGGTGATGGTGTATACTTTTCTGCTGAAAACATCTCTACCCACAAAGCAAAAAGAGCGTAAGACCATGCTAGTCAGGAGGGGTTTAGGCTTCAGAGTTCTCTCCAGAAGGAACATGCTTGGATACTGCAGTGTTTATAAAGATGAGCTCTAATAATATTGCCCCCAAAACCCACCACAGGTGAATGGCCAGAGCCAGAGCCAGGAGCTTTGCTACTTTTCAGGACAGGAGGAAAACAAAGCAGTTCTTGATATAGAGGAACAACCCTATTCACCCCCAAGGCCCCATCATCAGATGGGCCCCAGCAGGGCACTGGCTTGGCCATGTGCTGCATGTGGACAGAAGGGGGAAGGAGTTCTAGGGGTATGGGGTTGGTTTGATGAGGATGGCCGAGGCTCTGCAGTTCCCCTTGCACAGCTTGCCCCATGTCAGGCCCCCCTTGACGTTCAGCTGCACAGAGTAACACGCTGAGTACCACCACCCGCCCCCATAGCGGGAGGCACAGTTCCCTCTGTAAGTGTCCTGATCCCGATCCTTGGTGGAGAACTTCATGTTGTTGTGCACTTTCCTGGGGTTGTCTGAATCCATGGCATCCTCTGCTGTCCCTGAGTGCGCTCCCAGCCTCAGCCGGTAGCCCTGGGACTCATCATCCAGGCTGAACAGGTTGTAGTCTGCGAACTTCCTGTTGTTTGCAGCATCCCAGATGACAAACCTGACCTGGTAGATCTTCTGCCTGGTGATCTGGTGGATGTACTCGGTGCCCAGCCAGAACTCAGTGTGCACATTCCCAAAGCCGTGCTTGTAGGTGCTCCAGGACTCGGCCCAGGTGATGTCCGTGTCGTGCCGGTTCCTCTGGATGACGGTCCAGCCCCCGTCTGCCCCGCTCATCTCGCAGAACACCATGATGGGGTGCAGCCCCGTGGGCTGGATGATGTACACACCACTGGGGCTGCCAGCCAGAACCTCGCTGCAGTCCCTGGGCCAAGCTGGGGCAGCACAGAGGGGGACAGAACAAAAGCCTGGGCATCAGGACAAGACCCTGGGCAGGAGGGAGGTTCATCTGGTCCGGGCACGTGGGGGATAACAGCTCTCCCAGCCCAGAGAGGGGGTTGGCCTCAACCCTCTATTCCTTTTCCATAGGGAAGACCAACAGGAGTCAGCCCCATTGAAAGGCCCCAGACTGACTGAGCTATGCTGGTATCAGTCCAAGAGACTGAATACGGGCACCAGTGGGCTCCCCTGGGTCTCCTGAAAAAGGGGCTGTGCCACTACAGCAGGGCCATGCTGGGGGGAAGGTGAAGAGAATCTATAGCCCCTGCCTGTGACTCAGGGAATGGGGAAAAACGATCCCTTCAGGCACAAAGCCACCCTCCCCAGCCTGCACAGTGCACACACACACACACACACACACACACACACACAGAGCCCTGCAGCCTGTGCTGGGCACACCTTCACCATCCTCCATCCTAGAGCAGGGCCAGGGTGAGAGACAGTGCCCTGTCCTGCCCTACCCAGAGCTGGCTGAACACATGCACACAACACCAGGTGCCCAAGGGATGTTACCTACTGGTTCTCTTCAGAACACTCGATGAAGTGTTGGAGGGAGATTTCTTGAAGGTGTTTAGGCTTTGAGTGTGCACACAATAGCCTGGTGAAGCCAAGATGAGCAGGGAAGCAAGGAGCAGAAGACACTGAGCTGGTAGAAAGGGACAAGAAGAAAAAAAGAAATGTGACCATCCTTCCCATGGCACCAACACCACAGCTAACAGGAGCCTGTGAGGTGCAGGAGGGCACCGAGCATGCTGGGCAGCATCAGGCTGCTCCCTGCGAGCTGCCAAGCTTGCCAAAGGGGTCACAACCTGTCCTTTCCCCCTTGATCTGCTGTGGACAAGTCAAACACGGGGTAGTTTTGGGCAGAGCAGAGCAGCCAACAACTGCCTGAGCCAAGTTTCACTCCTGGTCCCTGGAGCAGGGGCCTGGCTGGGCTGAGCCAGAAGCCAGGGCATGAGCAGGTGGTGCTCAGAGGGGGCAAGTGCCCCTAAAGGGCACCAGTGCCACTGCTCCCCATCAGTGTGCAAGAACCAGAGCACGGAGCCTCTCCCCCTTGCTGAGCTGCCCTACCTTTGCTGTCCCCATTGCTGGCAAGGAGTGCCCACTTCCCAGCCCTGTACTCACCCATTGCTGCCTGTGGAAATGCCCTCTGGAGCGCAGAGCTCTGCACTGGCTGGGCACACAGAGGTTTTGTAGTGCCCTCTGCACTGGGCGGGCTGAGTGGGTCCTGCCTCCCTTTTCTGCTGGAAGAGATCAGGTTGGTTTCCTTTGTGCCTGCAGAAAACACCAGCTGAGGTGGAGGTGCCTGTGGTTCTGGATTGCAAAGAAAGAATTCCCGTGCCAGCAAGAATCCTTGGAATGGTCTCTTCTGCGAGTGCTGAGTGACTTGGATGGAATTTCCCCAAGGAACAGCATATTTGCAAACTTTGAAGAGTATTGCTCAGTAAACACTTGAATGCCACAGTCCCCAGCCAGGTGGAGAGCAAACACAGGTCTGTCCCTGCCTCCCACCACTGCAGCTGGTGCTGCCAGGTCAAGGGGCTCTTGTTTAATCTGCTCCAGTCCAGCCCAGCCTGGATTTGGGTGGAGCAGCAGAGCAGCCCCAAGATCCCCATGGAGGGGAACTGCCGTGGGGCAGTGTTTGGAGCAGCTGGTGTGTTCTGGGGTGCATGACACAGGCAGAGGGGTCTGTATCTGGGGGAAGCAGGAAAAGTCTTGACTCCCCACGGGGACACAGTCCTGCCCTGCAAGGAAGCAGCTGAAGGGCTTGAGGAAAGGTTTCTGTAAGGCAGGTGAGACAGTTGTGGCCATGCAGGGTGAGAGGAAAGCATCTGCCCAGGAATGGAGAGCAAACAGGTGGATGGAGGGCAGAAATGGGGATCTGAGCATGTACAGAGGGGAGCTAAGCATGTTTGAAGGAAAAACAAGGGATTGAGCGTGCACAGAGGGGTGGTGAGGGATATCATGGTGGAACTCATAGGAACTGAGCACCCACAGAAGAGACAGTGGGAGCTGAGCATCGATGGAGGTCAGCAGAGGGAATGTGAGGTGAGAAAAAGAGGGATGTGAGCTTGCCCAGGGGAGAAAAGTCAGCACTAAAGAGATGCTGAAAGAGCCAAAGGAGATCTGAGTACTCAAGGAGGGGGATAGATGAGATCTGGGTGCACACAGAGGGAAGGGGAGGGCATAAAAGTGTACAAGGGGAAAAATGGCAACGATCTGTTAGTGCAAGGAAAACAACAGAGGGGTTCTAAGAGGGCACAGCAAGGGGAATGAAGAGGATATGAAAGCAGCTGGATAGAAATGGAGTGCATCTGAGAGTGGTTGGAAGTGAAGTGAATGAGTAAGAGGGGATCCAGAGGAGCACTGAGAGGGAACAGAGAGAATTTGGAAACATGCAAAGGTATAGTTCCGTTTTAAGGCACTCAGAAAGAATGGCAGGGACAGGCAGTGCACAAAAGTATAAATCTGATACACTATCTGGCACAATAAATCTGGCTGTGTTCAGTGGGAGCTTGTGAGATCACAGATTCCCCACAGTGCAGTTTACCAGCATGGTCTGGCCCAGTCAAATGAGAACTTACACAATGCAGGTTCACTAATAGCATGGTTTAGGGAAGGAACAGGAAAGCAGGTTCAGGATGCTGGTGATAAATGCACTATGGATGTTAATATGCATTATGACAGAAGGGGTAGTAACAGGGATCTATTAGCTATAAATATATATTGATCCAGTTATATACACAAACTATTCCCAGGTCTGCTCCAATACATGTGGAGATGTGAAGCTCAAGCAGAGGCATCCCTTCAGGGGAGAAGGAGAGACACTGTCCATCTGCTGATCTCAAGCAAGCAGAGATGCTTTCCCCTCCCCTTTTTGCCCTGAGACCCCACTTTGATACCACAATTTTTGGCCAGCTTTGCTCCATTGGAGCCTTGCTGGAGTCAGGGGCAGCCAAGGGACCCATCCCTTATGTTTCTCAACCACTCCCATTGATTCTTGACCAATTTAAGGCAGCTCTAAAGCAAGTCTGTCAAGTTATTACCCTTCTTCCCCACCCTGCACCATCACCACCACTGAGAGCTCTGCAGCTGCAGCTGGAATGCCCACCCAGGGAATGGAAATGCTGCCCATACCCAGCTTTAATGTCTGCAAGCCCAAGAACCCAATATTTCTATCACAAGCATAATCCAGGTTTTCAGAACTCTTTATTTCTATTTTAAGACTAGCACAAGAAAAGCAATTGCAGAAATTTTGGTCCTCTGGGGTGGATCCATGTGCTACAGTGCCCTAGACTGAATCCAGGGGTCTGGAATCCTCTTGGGTACCCTGATGTCCACGTCTGCGGCGCATCTGACGGACATTGAGGCATTGCCAGCTGACCCTGGGAGACAGAAGGAGGAATGGAGAAAAGGGGAGCAGGGAGGACACCCTATTCCCATTAGGGTGTATGTGGGGAGGACAGGGACACATGGGGCATTTGGAGGGCTCAAGGGGCAACTGGGGGGTCCTTGGAGCAAGTGATGGGCCTAAGGGTGAAGCTATGGTATCCTGGGGGCAACTGGGGTAACTGAAACTGGTATCCCCAAAGGGACAGCAAGGGTTCTAGGGAAAACCAGGGAAAGTTTCAGGGTTTCAGGGGCAATTAGGGAATCTGGGGGAAGTAAAGGCAGCCTGGAGTGCTACTGGGTGCAAGGGGGAGACCCTGGCATAGGCCAGAGGGCAAAGGGAGTCCCAGGAGACATGGAGTGTCCTGTGACTTTAGGAGTCCTGGCAGTCTTTGGCCTCCCCTTGGACACCTGGGTTCCCTTGTACTTGCAGGGAATCCCAAGGGACTGAGAATGCAGAGGGGATAGGGAGTCCCAAGCTGGTCTGAGAAGAGCTCCAGAAGCATGGGGATTTTTAGAGTGGAGTTCACCAGGTCAGGAGTACTCACATCAGCAGCAGAACGAATGCCATGGAGCCAAAACCCAGAGCCAGCCCCAGGTATGGTATGTGGGTAGGTGTCTCGTCATCCCAGTTCAGCACAGTGCTGAACAGACTCTGCAGTCCTTTCTCTTCCTCCACGCTTCCCTCTGATACTGTGGAGACCCAGGCCCCTCAGGTCATGGCCCTGCACCCAGGGACCAGCTATCCCTGCAGCTCTTGCTCCAGCCACAGACCTCTCTGTCCCCAGTGACCCAGGCATCTGGGGTCCCTGCTCCACCCCACATGCTCCCAGGGGAGTCAGGCACCAGGGAACACTTGTGGTGCTCTCATTCTCTGAACAGAGAGAAACATAATTCTCTCTCCTAGGATTTTTCTTAGGGAAGGTAGTAAGAAGTTCAGAGAAGAGAAAACAATTTTAATCTCTATTTGTTGTTCTTGTTGTTTAGCACATGTGGAATGTGTTATGGAGATATTGTTTACTAAGAGTGATTTATTCATTAGACACTTGTGAGAGTTGTTTAGATTGATTAGCTAATTAAGTAAAACCTGTGTTGTGACTGTCTCCACACAGTCAAGGGTTTTTCTTTGGCATCTTTTTCGTATAGTTTCAAATAGTATTAGTATAATATACTATAGCTTAATAAAGCATTTCTTCAGCCTTCTGAAATCATGGAGTCAGAGCACATTATTCCTGTGTTGGGAGATCCCAGAATCGATAAACACATGCTCTAATCCATCATGAACCAGGCATCCTGGCACCCTGCTCACCCCCTTCCCATGGAGCCAGGTGTCCCAGGTCCCACTCTGCTCCACACTGCTCCCTGCCCCAGGGCTCTCAGGTGTCTGGGCTCACCGTTGAGGTAGAAAAACTTGCGGATAATGGGCTTGGTTTGCTCCCCCAGGCGACAGGCAACGGTTCCTGGAGCGGGTTCCTCAATGGTCAGACTGAAGGGCTTCTCTGGATTCCCCTTGAGCTCCTTGAACAGTGCCATGTCCTGTGTGCGCAGCTGGGGCACAGGGGGACACATCAGCACTGCCCAGGCCAGCGGGCACACAGAACTGCCCACACAAAGGCACCTGTGTCCTGCATGTGCTCAACACGTCCCCTTCATGCTTCTTGTGCTCCTGGCTGGTGCAAGGGCACGCAGCTCCCATCCCATGTCCATTTACACCCAGGGTGAACACAAAAGTCACTTCCTGCACATGCAGGAAGGATTTTCCCCTGTGAGTGTGGTGAGGCCCTGTGCAGCAGAGCAATCTCATCCCCTCAAGAGCTTATCTGTTGTTTGTTAGCCAGTCAGGTAACTCAAACAGGACAATCTGTCTTGTAATGAGTTATTTTTGTACCTCTGGGTTAGCATCTCCCAACTGCCAATAAACACCTTACTGTCAAGGTGAGACGTGGGAGGTAAGCTGGATTTCTGACTGACAGCAAGTCACTTTACAACTATAAAAGTCACAGCAAACTTCTGCAAAGTAGAAAGCTTCTATAGGTTTTCCTGGAAATGTGTGGAAAGTCTCACATAAATAGGGACACCTATTTCTCAGTTAATCCCCCAGGGGTTGAGTGAAGGAATCTGTGTACATTATTGTCATTTTGGTGGTAAGTTACATTTGGCTCCTATTCAATACTATTTCTTTTGCTAGCTTTAATATGGATACCTTGATATAGTGCACTGTTCTATGTTATGCTGTAATCTACTAGTAGTTCTTTCAATTTTATACTGTGTAGTAAGTAATTCTGGTTAAGATATTTCATCTATTTTGCCTGTTCATTTGTTTATTAAATAATTCCTTTTTATAAATATATCTGATTTGCCATCATTAGGACTTTTGGGCCAAAATAATTCCTAAGATTTAAACTGTTGCCATATTCTGAGGCTAATGAAGGATTTACCTTCATCTGAACCTATCTCTCTGAAAGAGTTTAAATACACAAAGGAATCCTTTCTGACCCTCAGATTCAGCAGCAGGGCTTCTTTAACAAACTTTGTCTGAAGCTTCCACTCTGCCCACAACACCCTGGCACAGGTTGTGCAGGTAAGATGTGGCTGCCCCATCCCTGGAAGCATCCAAAGCCAGGTTGGTTGGACCTTGAAGCAGCCTGGTCTGGTGGAAGGTGTCCACACCTCCCAGAGGATTGGAATGACATGACATTTAAGGTTTTTTTTCCACCCAGACCATCCTGTGATGTTATGATTCTACATGTGCACACATGGATCTGTGAACACACACCTGCCTGCTGCTCGTGTGCACCCTTCCCATGAGCAAACATCTCGTGTGGGCTTACACAGCTGCTACCTCCAGCACAGACAGCTGCCGTGGCAGCAGCCATGACACCTGCAGCAGTGCCCCTCAGAATGTCTGCTCACCCTTGCAGGACCACGTGTGACTCACATTTGGGGCAAACATCCAGGTGATGGGCACGCCGGGTGGGATGTGGAAAGGCACGTTGCAGCGCAGCACGATGGTTTCATCTGTGTAGGTCCACAGGTCCTGCACTGGGAGCAGTGACAGGCTCATGAGCTTCCATCTGCACATGCACTGACAGACATGCATGATGGTGCTCCTGTGCTGGCTGCAGGGATGGGCAGATGTACACTTGGGCAGGTGCACTCAGCATGGGACCGTGGGTGAGAAACACGGGGAGCCCCCAGAGATTTTTGTGGTGAAATCCTGTCTTCTGGATCAACTTTGCTCACTATAATCTCATAATACTGAACACACCTCGATCCCAAAAGCTACCTGCCCCCAATGTATGACCACCTTAGCTGAGCACACATTCTGCATTTTTCTAGCTTAGACCTTTAAAAGCAAATTTAGACTTTTTGACCTCAATCAGTACTAGAAGTGTGACTGGAGTCACTCAAGTGCCACCAAACATAAAAAATAGCACAAAAATAACCTAAGAATGGGAGGAAGTTGAGGAAGATTTCCTTACCATTAACACAACAGCCTCTCATGGCCTCATCATACCTGGGCAGTCCAGGGCAAACTGACAGTCCACGAAGCGGCAGGTAGCACACTGGAACACACGGGCAGCTCGCTGGAATCCTGGGAAAGAGAGACTTGGTGGTCCCAGGGAAGTGGGAAATGTACTAGGAGACCAGGGAGGGCAAGACAGAAGGATGGGCACTCACCACAGGGTGGGATACAGGCTGGAACTGGTGGGGAGGAAGCAGCGTTAGACTGGGCATCACTGGGGACCCACATCCTTGTAATGAGCTGTCAGGATTCAGCCCTTGTCCAGCCCAGATGGGGTCCCTGGGAGTTTCTCTAGGACAGGGGTTCCCAGGGTGGCCCCATACCTTTTTCCAGCTGGCTCAGCTTCTTCCAGATTGTGCTGACAGCTTCCTGCAGAGACTTGTTCAGGGACTCTGGCGTGTCCCAAATGTGCAGGTAAGACAATGTGCCCTCCCCCTGGTCCCCATAAACCTTTCCCAGACCCCATAGATTGTTTATATAACTCACTTTGACTCCATATATCCCTCCCGAAGTGAGGTACATTCCCAAATATCCCCTCAAACTCCCCAAGAAGCTGTATAACTTGAAACCCATATATCCCCAGGATTCCTCAAATATCCCTTTACAGCCCCCCGACTTTCATATAGCCTCTATTTCACCTCCACACCATCCCCCTTCAAGACCTCCACATCCCATTCCCCTTGGCCCATGTCTCATGTCCCATGTCCCTCAGTCTGCTCACTCTTGCCCCATCGCTCCTCTAGAGAATACATCGCATCCATGACGATCTCCCGAAGCTCCTCGCGCTGTCCTGACGCTGGAACCAGCACAGGGACACAGGAATCAGTACAAGGTTAGGGTTGGAGTTTCAGGGATGGGATGGTCCAGTAAGGTCTGGGGGTTTCTGGGGGTTCCTGAAGTCCTGAACAAGATTTAAGGGATACTGGGAAAGGTTAGGTGTCCCTGTGGATTCCTAAGGTCTTAGGTAGGGCCCCAGAGGTCCTCAGTGTGTCCTTGGTCACAGTTGTGTGATTCTCAGGGTTCCAGGCGGGTTTGGGATTCCCAAAAATCCCTGGGAGCCAAATCAGGACTGAGAAGACCTTAGATTGTCTGGGGTGGGTCCCTAGGGTCCCCAGCTTCCTGGAATCTTGCTCAATGTCAGTGTGAGGGCCTTGATTGAAATGGGAAACCCCAGAGGGCTCTAGGGTGCTGTTCAGGGTGCAGATCCCCTTTGGGATGGATGTCCCTGGTGGAAAGGAGGGACAGGTGTCCAGTCAGGACAGAGGTCCTTGGGCAGGATCCCTGTTGGGTTTGGTGTCCCTAGGGACTCGTGACGTACCTACAGTGACAGAGGCAAGTGGTTTAGAAGCCTCCACAATGGCCTCAATGCATTTTTTATGTCTGAGCTCATCGACAAAGGCCCCGGTAATTTCATGGCAAAGCCGTGCCCGCTGAATAGGGGGCCCAAAACAGAGCAGGCAGGGGTTAACTTCAGGGAGGCAGGACATCAAGACCCACAGCCACAAGCCAGGGTTTCTAGTATGCCAGGGGACTAACACCAGCATCAGGGCCAAAAACCACCACCCCATGACCCCAAACCGAGCACACAAGTGCCTGACTTCCCTGGACAAAGGCAGGGTTCCAAGGTGGAACCTGGGCACCTGGGTCACCATGGAACCAGGTAAGGCAGGAGGCCACACTCTAGCCAGCCACACTGACCTCACACCAGCCAATGATGTTGGCAGAACCCAGCAAGGAATTTGTAAGCCTCACATTTGAGCAGGATGAACTGAGCCAGCCCAAGGTTACAGCAGCCAAACATGGCTGGGACTGACCAGGACATGGTGTTTGTATGTCCCGAGGAGATTCTTCTGCCTCTCTTCTATATTGTACTCTTGAGTAGAGGAATGCACACCTGGTGATGCAAGGTATTAGATTGTTCAGCTCTCCAAAACAGAGGGGGGGAGAGAGAAAGAAACTAAAAAACATTATCATTAACTACAAAGCAAAAGACTGAGAAAGCAGCTGTTGGTTTTACAGAGACAAGAGTTCCTGATGAAGGAAGCAACACATGAAAGTGTTTGCAGGTGAAAAACAAGCATGAGACTGAAGATTGATGCAAAACCTCTAGAAGGCAGAAGATGCTGTAAGACCTGACCTGGCATGTGCCAAAACATGTAATAAATGCAAGTTGCTTTTTCCATCCAGCTTGCAAATATTCACTCTCATCCCTCTCCTGTTAATGAGCACTGAGACAGTGACCCATTGCTGGCAGCCATGGTCACTATGCAGGTGTCTGACAAAGCACATAGTGACAAAAACAAGATGGTCCAACAGCCTAGGCTATTCAAACCAAATGCTTGCCAACTCTCTTCCCACAGAGCAGAAACTAAGGTGAACCCAGGAAATGTTGGAGACCTTGCCACGAGCTCTGTCCTGCAGAGCAGAAGGTGAACCCAGGAAATGTTGGAGACCTTGCTGGGTGCTGTAGATGCCACAACACCACCACTAGCAGAGAGCTTCCTGAGCTTCAGCCAGACTTGGGATGGGATTTCCTAAAGCCTTGGCCCTTCCCGGCTGCCCCATTCTTCCCAACTGACTCACACTTGTTCTGCATTTGTGCTGTTCTCAGAATACTCTGATGATGCACAGATCCCCAAGAACGTCTCAGTGATTGTCAAGAGGGTCCCAGCTCAAGCCACGTGAGTATCCATGAAGCTCTGGATTCCCTGGGAGGGATGTCAGGCTGTGAACTTCTTTTCTGGATATGGGTTTGCAGAGGCACTTGGACAGCATCTGGTCAAAGCTGCTGCTAATTTCCTTTTTCATGGGGTAGATTTTAATGCGTCTGCTCCAAAGCAGACTCACTCTGTTAGGTTTGTGGGGATGTAGGGTTCAAACTCCAACAACGGTAAATTCTATGGTGATTCTTGCTTTTGTTCTTGGGATGATTGGGCTGAGAGCCAAGTCACAGATCCTGTTTCCTCTGCATGAGGAGACTTCAGATTGTACAGCATGGGTTTAGGAGGGTAGGTCATGTTTCACCAACCTGATTTCTTTTCATGACCAGGTGACCCTCCTGGTGGACACAGGAAAGGCTGTGGATGTTGTGTACCCTGACTCCAGCAAGGCCTTTGACACTGTGTCCCACAGCACACTCCTGGAAAAGCTGCAGCCCATGGCTGGGACAGGAGCACTCTGTGCTGGGCTCAGACCTGGCTGGATGGGCCCAGAGAGTGGTGGTGAGCAGTGCTGCATCCAGCTGGCAGCCAGGCACCAGTGGTGTCCCTCAGGGCTCTGTGCTGGGACCAGCTCTCATCAATGTTTTTATTGACGACATGGATGAGGGGATTGAGTCTTTCATTAGTAAATCTGCAGGTGACACCAAGCTGGGAGCATGTGTCGATCTGTTGGAAGGTAGGAGGGCTCTGCAGAGAGACTGGAACGGTTGGAGGGATGGGCAGAGTCCAATAGGATGCAGTTTAATAAATCCAAGTGCCCAGTCCTGCATTTTGGCCACAATCACTCCCTGCAATGCTCTGGGCTGGGGATGGTGTGGCTGGACAGTGCCCAGGCAGAAAGGGACCTGGCGGTGCTGGTCACCAGCGACTGATCATGAGCCAGCAGAGTGCCCTGGGGGCTCAGAAGGCCAATGGCTCCTGCCTGGATCAGGAATGGTGTGGCCAGCAGGAGCAGGGAGGTCATTCTGCCCCTGCACTGGGCACTGCTGAGGGCACACCTGGAGTGCTGTGTCCAGTTCTGGCCCCTCAGCTTGGGAAGGACCTTGGGACGCTCGAGCGCGTCCAGAGGAGGCAACGAGGCTGGAGAGGGGCTGGGAACACAAACCCTGTGAGGAGCCACTGAGGGAGCTGGGGGTGCTCAGCCTGGAGAAAAGGAGACTCAGGGGTGACCTTATCACTCTACAACTCCCTGAAAGGTGCCTGTGCTCAGCTGGGGTTGGGCTCTCTCTCCAGGCAGCACTGACAGACACAGAGGACAAGTCTAAAGCTGCACCATGAGCTGGATATTAGGAAAGAAATCTTTAGAGAAAGAGTGATAAAGTACTGGAACGGTCTGCCCAGAGGTGGTGGAGAAAAATGACTTTTTAGTTGTATTAAGTTAATAAAAACTGTCCAATTACAGACAGAGCATTGTCTAACAGCCTGTCTCTCTCGCCGGGCTCCCTGGTGCTCCTTCAGCCCCTTCTGCCCTGCTGTGGCTCTGGCCCCGGGCTGAGCAGATGGAGCCCCGGGCCGGGCCCTGAGGCCGCTGCTGCTGCCGCGGCGCCTGCGGGGCAGCCCTGAGGCGCCGGGCCGGCTGTGGGAGCGGGAGCAGCGCTGCAGAGCCCGCGGCCCTCACGGGCTGCAAAGGCACGGGCAGGTGGCCGTGGGGCCCGGCTGGCACTGCCGGCGCTGCTGCTCTCGGCTGCCGCCTGCAATCCTTCCAGGCGGCCCTTAGGCCGGCTCAGGAGCCGCTCGGAGCCGTGCCCGAGGGCTGGCCCCGACCCCCGGCCCCCAAGGGCACTTGTCCCTTCATGTCTGCACTGCCACATTCGCGGCTCATTTGTCAGCTTCCTCCTGCCCTTCCTTCCTGCGGGGCAGCGTTAGGGGCTGCCCCAGCGGCTTTGCTCGCGCACGGCTGCAGCCCCTTGCCCACAGCTCCCTGGCGGCAGCCAGAGCTGCTTTGCAGCCGGGCACCCCCGCCGTGTCCCGCAGCCCGGGCCGGCTCCTGCCCGCTGCCGGCGAGGCCCGGCGGCTGGGCCCGGCCATCCCGGGCCAGAGCAGCTGCCTGGCCGGGGGAACACAGGGGGACATGGGGGCACACACGGCAACACACGGGGCACACACGGCGGGCACCGCTTCCCCGTGTCCCCATTGCCGCAGAGCAGCGCCCTGTGCGGGGCTGGCACGGACCCGGGCACCGAGGAATGTCTGTGCTCTCACCACACAAAGGACACTGCAGGGATGCTTCTCACAAGGCTGTGTGGCAATAAAACCCCCCTGAAAGCGTAGAAAATTTTGCAAAAGTGGCAGATAATGGAGCAGTCACTGCTACCTTGAGAGCTCAGTAACAAATCGAGGCGGCCCAAGGTAATTTTGGGACTCTATGGACAACTAAAGTAGAACGTATAGTAAATGGCAGGCACTGAAGGGAAGAACTTGGTTTGTCTTGCCCAACAGTCTTGGGGACATTGGCAGGAGAAAATATTTCATTGTCTTCTTTATGGACTGTCAAGCTGACATAAAACCTGACTTGGAGGAAAATGTACAAAGGCTTCAGCCACAGAGACTCTTTGCCATGAACTCCTGAGGAGAAAGGAGTCTGTGCCCCAACAACCCCATAGCTCAGCCACGGGCTCATGCACAGCACCCCTGCCAAAGGCTGATCCCAATGGATGCTCCAAAGCAGGCCGTGGGTTTGCTGTGCCAAACCGCCGTGTCTGAAACCCCGGTGAAAGCAGCAGGTTGGGGATTCTCTGACGGGGACTGAGCTCTGTGGGGCTGCTGGCCCCTCCTGCAGCCTCTGCCCAGGAGCTGCTTGGCGGATCCCTCTCTTGGTGAGGAAACAAACATAAAGGCGCCCTTGGCCTTCGTCTGGGGCTTTGTGGTTGTTGCAGTGCCCTGCCCGTGCTGACTCACACTGACAGTTCACTGCACAGCAAAGCCAGGCTTGCTGCCCGCTCCTCAATGCAAGTAGAAACTGAGAACATGAGATGCCACAGAACAGAACACTGACACTGCAGGTGGAGAAGTGGCTTAGCTTTAACTCAATTCTTAATCTGATTACAAGAAAAATAGTGAGGCCTCTCCTGTCCTGAAAGACTTGCAAGCACTTTTCAGTCACTAAAGGGCTCCAAATGGGCAGGAGAGGGATGTGGCACAGGGGCCTTGAATGACAGGACAAGGGGGAATGGCTTCACACTGTGAGACAGCAGGGTTAGACTGGGTATTGGGAAGAAAATCTTCCTGCAAGGGTTGGGATGCCTTGGCACAGGTTGCCCAAAGAAATTGTGTCTGCCCCTTTCCTGAAAGCGTCCAGGGCCAGGCTGGATGGGACTTGGAGCAACCTGGTCTAGTGGAAGGTGTTCCTGCCTATGGCAGGGATTGGAATGAGAGGATCTTTTAGATCCCTTCCAGCCCAAGGCATTCCATGACTCCATGAGTCTGTGACCCAATGGCTGCCAGCGATGACATGTACTGCCTGGCAACGGGAGTTGTGATGAAAAGGGGCATGAGCAGAGCAGGCTCCAGTCCTGTGATGGACAAGGGATGAGGAAGGAGCCTGTTGGTTGCTCGTCCTTTTTATCATTGCTTTTGCTCATCCCTTTTGATTATACTTTTTATCATCCCTGACAGACCCAACTGGGCAGAAGGCTTGTTACAAATCAGGGACAGAGTGTGTGCAGACATGGCAACATTCCTGGACACACTCAGCCTGTCCCAGATGCTGGACCTCGCCATCGGGATGCCCAACAATGGGGCCGTCCATTTTGCAGCCATGCGAAGAC